AAACACTATTTATTTATTAGATTGTTTATTTGCACTATTCATTTATCATATTGTTTATTGCAATGGTTGACAAAACATCAGTTAATTGCCAATTGATTCAAACTTTATAAAATGGTAAATATTAAGGATTTCTTTATAATTGGTTCATATATTTTAATAATTTAGTAAATGTTTATAAATTTATGAATGAAAAATTGTTTTTATATTTATTTCCTTATAAATTGGTAAATATTACATTGCATTAGTTTCAATTGTATTGGTTTTTAGAATGTTGTAAATATAAAATTATTCTTGTAAATAAGAAATCTTATAAATAGTGTTTAATATTTTTTGTTGTAATTTTTCAAAAACAAATATGTATGAATTCATTTTCATCATATGTTTCAGTTTTATTTCAATTCTAATCATCACTTTAACAATAACCATAGCCGAGGAGTGAGGGTAGTTAAAATAACTGTGGTGTCAATGGAAAAACTCTCCTTTTGACACACTTTTTTTTTTCAAGCGCAAAAGTCAAAGTTTGCCAAATCTGCAATGTTATTGGCTCTGACCTGGTATCTCGGTTTCAGTCATTTTCACACTCCTGTAACATAACTTTTCTGTGCCTTTTCTATAAATACACTCATGATAATTGTTCTGATGAACTTTCCTCTATAGTATATAGACTTTATGAATTTAATCACAGTACTAGATTGACAGCAATGTCTTATTTTCCCACTGAAATGGCTAAATGTAACTATAAGTTCTATGCTAAATTTCTTTTCTTGTATTTCTCTTCTGGTTTTATGCTTCTCAGTTAAATCTTCAAAAATTTAAATATGTCAATCATTATTTTCTGTCTTAATTTTTGTTCTTTTATTGTTCTCTTTCCTAAACAGTTTTTTTTTTTTTTTAATATTCTCTCACACTGAGTAACCCTTTGCATCTTAGTGGCTCTATTGTCTTGCTTTCAGTGAAATGATAAAAAAAGATATAATTTAAAGGATTTAAATTTCACTTTTTACATTATTTCATTTGCTCCCCTTACCACTTTGTTTTTTTTTTGTTTGTTTTTTTTCCCCCTCTAATTTTGAAGATTACATTTTCTTTCTTTTTTTTATTGTAATAAAAAATGTTGGTGATGAATTTATGCTTGCTCATTTAAAAAACTACAGCAAATATTTGCAGAAATAGAGAAGAACTTTTAAATGTCAGAGATATTTTTCCTTCACTTTCGTCTTTTGTAGTGATGCAAGATTTCTTTCTTTTTTTTTTTTTTTTTTTTAAGGTTCATAATGGCATCCCGCCTAACAGCATTTCTGAAAGAATACAAGGTTCTATTAATTATGCTTCCAGCCGTTGCAGGAATCCATTACGTCTGGTATAAAATGCAAAAAAGTCCAGTTTTTATGGAAGGAGAAAAAACAAAGATTTTTGGAAAAGACCTTGTGTCTGATTCACCGAAATAAAAACCACGAGTAAAACAGTCTTCATTTTAAAATTGGTAAGTTTTGTAGTAATGTATTCACATGTTAGCAAACTTTTTGATTTGTGAAAAAAAAGTTAACATTGGGTATTTTTATAAAATGTTTAAAATAAATTGCAATTTAAATATCTTCTGTAATTGTGAGAAAAGGGTGGCAAAATTTAGCCATAAAAAATTTTTTTTAAATTACTTTTGCATACTCTCATGTCCGCAATAGATAGGCCTATCAGCTATTTCATTTTTCTATCGCCCCCCAGCTGCTCACTATTGTCAGTAGATAATTTTCCAACTTACTTGCTTCTAGCAATTCACAGCTAATAAGGAAAAGAAATCTGTGGAGAATCATTATCACCAACATCTTGAAAGGACCTGGCTTTAAGAATAAGAAGGAAAAAAAAAAAAGGAATTCCAGATTACTACCTGGTCATTTATTTTCCACATTTTTTTTCCATCTTGACTCTTTATTTCAGCTTCCTCTCTTTGTGTTTCTTTAATTCCTAAAACAAATTCATTTTGAATGAATTTTCCAACCAACCCTTTTATTTCAACCTCACCTGCCCTTTTATTCCAGACTTAAGAGTATATAAAATAAAAGGCATTGATTTTTTTTTTTTTTTTTTTTTTTTTTATCCAACAGATTTTTATTACTTAAATGTTATTTTTAGTGGATAAGACACTCTATTTATTAAACTGTATATTTATTTATTTTCATATGCTGGCCTGAATATTCGAGCAATCTTAGAGAAAAATATGCACTCTCCAAAGATTTCTCAAATATTCAGGCCAGTATACAAAAATAAATAAATATAGTTTAATAAATAGTGTCTGCTCAAATACAAGTATCCATTAAAAATAACGTTTAAGAGTATGTAAAACATGTTTTAAATTATTTACACTGTTTACATTCAGACTATTGTCCTCCTTTTTGTTATCCCAGCAACAATGACGTAGACATTAGTCCAAATGTAAATAGTGTAAATAATGATAAGTCTCCATTCCTTTTAAATTTAGGCAGAAGGTAATCAGGTTGTAATAGCAACAAAAATATGCATATTAGTCTGTATAATATCTCCTCATTCCCTTTAATTACCTATTTCTATTATCAGCTGATTGCCTTCTGTCTGAATTTAAAGGGAATGAGGAGTTAACATTATTTACATTCGAACTATTGTCCCCATCTTTGTTATTGTTATCACAGCAATAAAGATGAAGACACTAGTCCAAGTGTAAATAGTGTAAATAATGATAACTCCTTGTCCCAGAAATTCAGTGATGACAACAAAGATGAGGACAATAGTCTGAATGTATATAGTATAAATAATGATAACTCCTCATCCCAGAAATTCAGGCAGAAGGCGATCAGGTGATAATAACAACAAAGATGAGGACAATAGTCTGAATGTATATAGTGTAAATAATGATAATTACCCATTGCTTTTAAATCCAGAAATTCACAGGTTTTAAATTATTTTGATTTCAATATATTTTTATGTTAATAAAATATATTTAATTAAAACAATCAAAATCCTTTAAATATGACTTACATGCTAATACCCTTGGAAAAGGTATGATCCTCTTCTCCCTCCAACTATGGGAAATAGCAGGACAGCCTTGGATGGCAATTGGTCTACTGCAGAAAGAAATGGCAACCTAATGCTGGGGGGAAAAAAATCTGCCTTGTCAGTCATGTATTGAAAGATACATGATTGCCTAAGCGTGTATCACACATGGCACATAACTGATAGATAGATAGATAGATAGAGACAGAAAAAATCTGCCTCGTCAGTCATGTATTGAAAGATACATGATTGCCTAAGCATGTATCACACATGGCACATAACTGATAAATAGATATATAGGGACAAAAAAAATCTGCCTCGTCAGTCATGCATTGAAAGATACATGATTGCCTAAGCGTGTATCATGCATGGCACATAACTGACTGATAGATAAATAGGAACAGAAAAAAATCTGCCTTCTAAGTCATGTATTGAAAGATACATAATCACCTAAGCATGTATCACGCATGGCACATAACTGACTGAACTTTATGCTACTTGAGATTCAAAGATGACATTTAAATTATTACGCACTGCCTGACTCAGGGATTGAGTTGTTGCTACTGCTACTGACAAATGATGGCAAGTCTTCAATTGCAGCAGCTGTAACAAAAAGAGAAAAGCTTCAGTGAGTGCAGTCAAGCATGACAAGCTGCAACAGCACTTATCAGCAGGCAGGTTAGGTTTAAGGCTCCAAGTTCTCCACACAGGTGATTACAGTGTTAGTACATGAATTTGGTAACACAGAAATTGTGAGTTTAATCCCCAGGTTAGGCTGTGCATACTTTCAGTGGAAAGGAAGTGGAAGGGTGAAATAAAAACTAGACGATATATATGTAGACATGGACAGTGGAACCAGAACCTGTCATAGACTAAATAAAGGGTTCAGCTACCTGGATCAACATACACCTGATGAAGGCCAGATGGTACAAAAGCTGAAACATTGTGGTAACAACAATAAAGATGAGGACAATAGTCTATATGTAAATAAGGATAACTCTTCATCACAGAAATTCAGACATAATTATTTTTTTTCTCTCTTTGATTTAGGAAATGATATTAAAGTTTTTTCTTCTATAGAAAATTTAAAATATCTTTGAGGAATTTAAGGTTTAAAGGATTTACTTGAAAATGGAAGAATCTGTGAGAGGAAAGTTGGTTCACTGTGCCAGAATCTAATATATAAGTCTACCATTCACCCATGCATTGAATATTGCTGCCATATCTAGTCTAGTGCTTCTGCTATGTATTTAGGGATTTTTTTATAAAATATAAAAAATCTGCAATATTATTGGTCCCAACCTGGCATCTTGACCAGTCACTTTCCCACCACCATAACAGTGCCTTTTCATGGTAACTATTCTAATGAACTTTCCTCTTTGGTATCTAAACTTTATGAATTTAAGCATACTACTATGTTGGTGGCAAGGTCTCATCACTTTACAGTTGAAATGGCTAGATGTAAATGTAAGTTCTATGCTAACAATTTCTTTTCTCGCACATCTCACCTGTGGAACTCTCTTCTTGCTCCTTACTTACCAGCTAACTTTGACCTTCAAAAATTTAAATACAATGTCAGTCATTATCTTCTGTCTTATAAATTCCTGTTCTTTTACTGTTCTCTCTCCTTAATAATGTGTTTTTGTTTTGTTTTGTTTTTTACTTATTCTTTCACATTCAGTAATCTCTTGTGCATTAGTTGCTTTATTGCCTTGCTTGGGGTGAAATGATTTAAAAAAAATGTAGAAAGAAAAGAAGTTTTCATTCTTATGAGTTCAGTCTCTTTTAGAACAAACTATTTTATTTATTTTTTTTTTTTTCCGGAGAAAAGTCCTTAAAAACATTTTTGTTTCTTTTGTTTTTGTCTCTATTCAGGACTTAATTCTTGAAACATGGGCTTCCGAAGCATATTGACATCAGCATCAACCTGGACAAGCAAGCACAAGTTTGTCTCTCTCATTTTAATAAGCGGGGCTATGTACGTGGCCACATACCCGTTCTTTTCTCCACCTGTATTGACACAAGCTGAAAGAAGTAAATCCTAGAAACTCTACCTCACCAGGTATGGCTATATGTCTACACTATATGCTTGGTTAATTTTGAATCAAGTGCTTGTGTAGAATGAAGGCAAGATTTTATACAGCTGTAAAAGAAGGCTTAAAGAACATTTTCAGTCAGAAATATAGAGGTGTAAAAATGAAACTGAGGTTGCTGTAAGAATGAATTTTATTTAATAAACAGTTTTTTAGTGTTCAAAGGTTAATAGTTTGTTTTGTGTGTGTACTAAAGTTGTAAATGATATATGTAGAAAATGTAAACAGAATAAAGTATTGCAAATATTTATTTATTCTGTGTGAGAAATAATCCATTCTCATAAATATATGTGAACTGAAGTATCAAATAATTCAACAGTGGACGGTTTCACCTTTCCCCATTCATAGAAATGGACTCGGCTCAATTACATTTGTTTGATATATTAAGGTAAAATTAGTGTAGGTGTGGCAGTTATGGGTGACAGAAAAGATTTAACACTTTTTTTTTTTTTTTTTAATAACCCTATAATGATTGTTAGGGTAAAAGAAATAAGATGGAGCTCTCTATCTACAACATGGCAATTGCTCACTATTTACATTATTCGGACTATTGTCCTCATCTTCGTCGCTATATTTATTACAACATTTCGACCGTTGTACACTCCGGCCTTCTTCAGGTGATTGGAATGTCAAACTGAACCCTTTATTTCGCTCACTGGGGTAGACTGTTCTAGTTCCATGTACTATGTTTAATGGATGTCAGTTATCAAGGACACATGGCACAGTGAATAAAGGCATTGGTTAGATCCAGTGACAGGACCCAAAGAGTGTGAGTTCAATACCCGGTTAGGGCAGTGGAGAACTTGGAGAGGGGAATTAACAGGAGATAACTGATAACTGACATCCATTAAACATGGCAGGTGGAACTAGAACAGTCTACATCAGTGAGCGAAATAAAGTGTTCAGTTCGGCATTCCAACCACCTGAAGAAGGCCGGAGCATACAATGACTGAAATGTAATAAATATGGTGACAAAGATTAGAACAATAGTCTGATTAATGTAAATAGTGTACATAATACCTCATCTCAGACATATATGATGACAATTGCTCTAGTTTTTTTGCTTGTAGCAAGAATTTACTACTCAATGAAGAGAAACCTTCCATCAGATCCATTCCACTTCAATGCTGGTGCCACTGACGCCATGTACTATACAGTGTACTCTGCATTCTGTGCACTTTTTTTAATGGTTGACTAACATGTGTACAGTTATTGACACCATGACATGACCATTGGATTATGAAAGGCTGGTGCTGTGTTGCCTGATAAAATGAATCTTATTTCCAGCACTTTGGGGCAAACAGTTGAGTTTACATGTGGAGGAAACCATATTAGGTTAAAAATGGAGCCTATCAGCAGAGTGTTGTGAAAGGCATATATATGACAAGCTTATAGCTAGTTTTGATAACAAATCCTTATACACCAACATAGTTGCAGTAGTGGCAAGTCGTAATAATTTTATTTATCAGTAGGGTGAGATTAAATTTTATAATAGAAGTGTCTTGTTTTTTTTTTTTTTAAATTCAAGCATTTGTTAGCAGGTATGTTGGTATATAAGGATTTGATATCTAAACTAGCTATAAGATTATCTTTCAGATATATACCTTTTCAGGTCATCAGAATTTTTAATATGAAAAGCAAGAAGTGATATTAAAATTTTTGTTAGTGTATGAGGAGTGCTGCCAACTCCAGATATGATGTATCACATTGAAATACCTGCTTTGTGTTTGAGTATTTTGTCAACTCATTACAAACTGATGTAATTTCAATTTTCAACACTAATTTGTACTGGATTGTCAGTTAGGTCTCATCATTTTACAGTTGAAATTGTTAGATGTAGCCATAAGTTCTGTGTCAACAGTTCCTTCTTGCACTTATCATTCATGGAACTGTCTTCATCTTCTTGCTTTCAAGCTAACTTTGATCTTCAAAAATGTAAGTGCAATATCAATATTGTTATCTTGTGTCTTCTTAATTCCTTTTTTTTCTTTTTCTTATATTCTTTCACACTCAGAAATCTCTGTTGCATCTTAGTGGCTTTATTTCCTTGCTTAGGGAGAAATAATTAAAAAAATTTCTATAGATAAAAATTTATTGATTGGCTTACCTCTTAGCAATGCTTTAGCTTGTCTTTTCTTTGAATTTTTAGGAACTTTCAAAATATTTTACATAAACAATCAGCATATTACCAATATATCAATGCTTTATTAATATATTCCCACAAAACAATATTATCTGATCTTCTAAATAAAGTAAACTACATTAAGCATATAATCAAATTTAAAAATTAAATAAAAGAAAATACAATACATTACCTTTCTTTGATATTTGTTAAACTGAACTGATAATGATTTAAAAACTAAATGTCTATCAAAAATCTACCAATAAAAATGAATATTCAGGTTGGTAGACAAACATAAATAAATATGCTGTTTAATAAATGGAATGTCTACTCAAATATTGGTATCCACTAAAAATAATATTTCAGTGATAAAATCTGTCAGATTAATAAATAAAAAAAAAATCCATTAATCCTTTAGAAATATATAAGTCAATACAAGTAAGATTTGTCATTTAGATGATTGGTGTTAATTTCAGCATCCTGACTCTACAGTTTTGTAGATGTACTCTTTGGGGATCATTCCATCCACTCATCAGGGTGTATCAGCAATTGACTGCTTATACTTCTCAGTTTTTCTTTTTTATATGGACTTTTCATTGGTGCAATGTGTCATGGTTATTTGTCCTTTTCATGTTTTTTTTTTTTTTTTCTTTACACTCCCTCTTTATATGTGCAGTTTGTATATCACATACCCCATATATATATATATATATATATATATATATATATATATATATATATCTCACACACACTGAAACAAGGTTTCATCTTTCTAGTGAGTAAATTGTTTTTATCTATATGAAAAAATTATGATAAATAATTATTGCTCTACTCTAGGTATTGAGCCCTCTTTTGAATTAATGCTGTGAACATTAGAATTTATATATTATTTTCGTTCTCATTACATTCAGAGATATATATATATATATATAAAAAAAAAATTTTGTAACAATTTAAATATGGCTTTGTAAATGACAATGCATTCTTTTAAAGGGACCTTTTTCATCTAACACTTTAAAAGGAATCATTAGAATGATAATAGTCAAAATGATGAAACTGAAAAAAGGTAAACGTGGGTGCTGCAGAAGACTTAATCATTTACGGTTTTAGAAGCTGTTCATATCCAGTTTCATCGGCCAACTTTGTGCATGCAGAAGAACTTTGTTCTCTGTCTCTTGGGTCAGTCCTCAATATAATTTTCTATATTTTATACTCACTAGAGGCTTGTTTACACCGATTTGTTTGTTTTTACCAATAAATTTATTTTTGGCGTAGCACCTTATATACTTCCACCCCAAAATGTTTACCTTTTTCAGTTTCACCACTTTGATTATTGTCATAACAATGAATCTTTCTGAAGAGTTGGATGAAAAAAAGTTCCTTTTAAAAGAATGCATTCTGTCATTTCTAAAGCTATATATATATATATATATATATATATATATATATATATATATATATATATATATATACCTATTGACTCATTAAATGAGTATGGCCGTTGCTGACAAGTGTGATTCAGGTTTTTAGTCCTGTTGAGAATGACAATGGCTCTTGAAGCCAGTAAGTGACATGAAGATGTGACTAAGTTTTCTCTACAGTGCTTAGCCTGTTTCATAAATTCTATTGAGGTTGTTTATGAGGTTTCACATGACAGGCGAGACCAGTGTAGTTTATCAATATATTTGATTCCCTTAGGGCAGTGGTTCCCAAAGGGTGTGGCATGTCTCGTAGCTGCATCAGAAGAGGATATCAGGTGAGGTGGAATGATTGAAAGACAAAGATTTAGACACTCTTTCAAAAAATTCATATACCAAAAATAAATGATTTCAAAATTTAAAATATTATGGATTACTTGTCCCAGTATAAATAGCTATTAACTGATTTTATCATTGATATTTTTGTATTATATCAACTGTTAAGAACATAGTAACTATGAGGAATGGTAGAGTGAAGGAGGCATGGTGGAGTAATGGATAGTGGCTCGGACTGAGGAATCGGAGAGCCAAGTTCGAATTCCAGTTGAGTCCATTACATTCACTTACGTGCTAATACCCTTGAGAAAGGTATGAATCCTCTTCTCGCAACCTCCAACTATAGGTAAGTAGCAGTAGTTCTATAGCCCTGGCAAATGGTCTACCACAGAAAGAAATGGCGACCTACTGCTGGAAAAAAAAATCTGCCTCGTTAGTCATGTATCAAAAGATACATGATCGCCTAAGCGTGTATCACATATGGCAAATAACTGACTGAACTCTGCCTGTCCAAAAAATTGGAGGAGAGAGATATCAATGATAATGTTCTGACTTCAAATCTATGGTTATCTCCCTTTAACCCTCTCTCTGGTTTGTATTTTTAAATGTAGTATCATAAAATTTAGTGAGGCATGAACAAATTTTCATTCCAAACATGCGGCCGAGAGAAAAAAGTTTGGGAACCACTGATTTAGTATATGCAAATGATCTTTGGTAATTAGTTAAATATTAATTTACAGAATGGTTTTGTGCATGCAGGGTACAAAGTAATTTTTACCAGGGTGAGCAGTAAATACTTCCTGTATATTTATTTCTCTGCGTTTTGATCAGCATTATCATTTGTGTAGATTCAATAGAAAAATACATGGCATTTTGGTGACAAAATGAGTTAAAGGATGCCACATAACAAAACTGATTTTTTTTTTTTTTTTTTTTTTTTTTGCAGGCAATCCCAAATCAATGTTTTAATTGATTTTTTTTTTTTTTTTTGCAAGAAGTGTTCATAAAATCCGACCTCATTCCCAAAAGGCAAAGGTAGTTGTTCACTTTCTAATACCATCAGAACTTTGTTAGTCACCTGGTACAAAATCCTTCTATCCTTTTGTCAAGACCAGGAAGACATTTTCAGACATTTCTTTATGGTACTAGTTTCAGAATTCTTGGCAGTATTGAAGTTTGATGAATTTTTTTAACTACTTGCCAATCGCATTTTTTGGTGGATGGGCAAGTGGAAAAGATGTCTTTTCACTGTGGGCACTTCTGGAAACACTACACACAATCAGTTTCTTCACAAGTGAGTTAGCCATCAAACTGCATAAAAAGAAGCAAGTAATTGTTTCACATAAAAAGATTCTTGACAAAATTCAAAGAAGGGTCTGTAATACAAACGATCCTGACCTGGCATCTCGACTTCAGTCACTTTCCAACCAACATGACATGGCTTCCCTCTGTCTTTTCTACAAACATTTTCACGGCAATTGTTCTCATGAGCTGCTCTTTTTAGTGCCTCAACTGGATGAATTTAAGTGTACTGCTAGATTGGCAACTGGGTATTTGGTATCACTTAAACTAGCTTAAACTGTCAGTTCTATTCTAATAGTTTTTTTTTTTTTTTTTTTTTCATGCCTGGGGAACTCTCTTCCGATGTCTTGCTTCCCTGTCACCTACAAGCTTCAAAAATTTAAATGTAACTTCAATCACTGTCTTCCTGAATCCTGTTCTCTTATTCTCCTTTTCCTTACTAAAGTCTTCTTATTCTCTTTCATTCCCTGTAACCCCTACATCCTAGTGGCATTAACACTTTTCTTTGGTGGGGGAAACAGTTTGTTTTTTTTTTTTTTTTTTTTTTTTTTTTTTTTTTTTTTTTTTTTTTTTTTTTTTTTTTTTTTTTTTTAAAAAAAAAAAAAAAAAAATGAAGCCCAAGACTGTGAGATTGTCAATAGCATTAGCTTCCATCAAGTTGCGGGGCGGGTGTCAGTCATAACAGTGAATGTCATATGCCCCAAAATTGGCTTCACCGAAAAATTAAGTTAGAAAATTACGGGGGAGATAACTTTTGTATCTGTTTTTTTAAAATTACGTTCATACCACAGTATTACAGACCCCCACTTTTAATGGATATCAGAAGCAACAGACAAGGTCTAGAACAGGTGACGCAGTCAGTTTGTAAGTTCCGTTGAGGCAGTTCCATGCTGAGGCAACACTGGATACAAGCTGCTGCTTTGCAAGCTGACTGCTAATTGAATGACTGTCACTTTTGTTACATCAGTGTAACCACATGTAGCTTATTGTTACATGGGTTTTATATTTTTTTATATGCTAGTGTGTTTAAGTTTTTATATTCATCATTTCTTATAATCATGTTATCTTGAGGAAGAGTGGAAAAGGGTGAATTTAACAGTAGCACAAAATAGTATTTATATTCAACAGTTATTTTCCAGTGTCAGATTGGATAGTGTGTTTGATTAAATGTACAGGACTAATGATATTCCTCTGTTTTTCATAATGTAATTGTTGATATTAACCACTACAGATTTAATGTCCATAACTACAGGCAATCAGAGTTACCAGACTAATCTCCCCCACCTTTTATCTATTAAAACAAGCATGAATGAATGTATGTATCATTTAAAAATTTAATTCAATTATTGTTTATGATGAATACTTTTTTATTTTTAAATTTATTGCTGAATTCTTCATTTGGGTAAATAATGTTACATCATATTTTGGTTTAATGCTAATAATATTTTAAAATGAGTGAAAAATAAAAATAATAAAAACCTAAAAACAATTTAAATATTTGTCCTATCCAAAATACAATGGAACCTTGTGTTACAAGCATCTCTTATCACAAACAAATATTCCAAGCAAAATACATCTCTGGTGATGAACAGTGTCTCGGTTGATGAAAGTGAAGAAGACCCAGAAAGACAGTTACCTGATGTTTTTATGGACAGGGACTCCCTTTCCAAACAATAAGAGATCGCTCCTTCCTCTTCCTCACTACCTTCCACTTCTGCCATCAACTCTTCTCTGTACAGGTATCAGTTCAGTTATGTGCCATGCATAATACATGCTTATGCGATCATGTATCTTTCGATACATGACTGACGAGGTTTTTTTTTTTTTTTTCCCCTGCAATAGGTTGCCATTTCTTTCTGTTGCCATCCAAGTCAGCCTGTCCTGCTATTTACCCATAGCTGGGGGGTGAAGAAGAGGATTCATACCTTTCCCAAGGGTATTAGCATGTAAGTGAATGCAATGGATTTGACTGGAATTTTAATTTGGCTTTTCGATTCCTCATTCCAAGCCGCTATCCATTATTCCACCGATAGTAAAATTAAGTTTTCGTCTATATTTTATGTTTTTAATTTTGTGTGTTTGATTTAATGATTTTCATTGGCTTTGTGTATGAACTTGTGCACAAAGTACTGTTGTAAAAGTTTAAATAAGCAATCATCTAGAGTGCTGTTGTGGCCTGTTCAGGGGCCAGAAAGAAAGACATGGAAGACAAAGGTAGGTTGAAAAAGTATATTGAAGATATATACAAAACAATAGTGTTACTAATAAGTAGATTAGCACTGTGTCTACTACTCCACTTCACACTCTCTCCAGTATCCGACTCTCGCAGTTTGTATTTATGAGAGGAGGAAGAGTTCATTATACTGTAGGAGGGTTTACCACAACAGGTGCACAAGCAGATTAATCCATTTTTCAATTACATTGATTCTTATGGAGAAAATAGTTTCAGTTAACATTTCAAGTCACAAGCAGCCTTCACGAACGAATTAAATTCTTGATCTGAGGTCCCACTGTACAGGCATAAATAAATATTTCAAAAGTTTTCTCTTAACTCATATTATTATTTTTAATTATTTAATCATTTTAATATTTGTATTTTTTTTTTTTTTTTTTTTTTGCCAGAAAAAAAAAAGAACAAATTCCTGGTTTAGATTTCAACATTATATAATCCACTTTAAGCAAAGCATAAGACTTGTTCTCAAATCATTCAATATCGTAAATAAGCAACAATCAAATGAATGGATGCCATTTTTAAGAAAAGTAACATACAAATATAAAAAGTTATCTCCCTTTAATTTTCTACGTTTTTGAACCATTTGATGAAATGAAGATGCGATTTCATGCTTTCACTGAAGCCAGTTTTCAGATAAATGACATTCACTGTTATAAACCGGATCCCCATTCATTAAGTGTAATATGCGCTCTTTTTAGCGCAAACATCCATCCATTGAAATATAATGTTTTATCCTTTAAGTTGTCAGGCATTTGGTTCATTTCTTATGGGGGAAAAAATTCAGTTAAAACCAAAATACGCCATCTTGAATGATAATGTACTGACTAATATAATAACGTCAGTAATCTTATTTATAACGTATATAAAAAAAAAAACAGATGTGTGTTATTGTAGTTGATAATAGTTTGGAAATTGAAACTGGAGAACTGTGTTTGAATTCCATTCAAGGTTGTTGCCTTCACTTATGTACAAACACATAAGAAATGGTGATTTTCTAAACATATGCTGAAAGTATACTCAGTGCAGATCAGATTCCTTTCGAAAGATATAAATCCATCTCTTCTGCCCCCCACCCCCACTATGTTTATTGTCCCATCACCAAACTTAAACAACATTGAGTCTAGTCTGTATCTTGTGAATACCAGGTGATGTAAAGCTGGATGTGTGTGTGTGTGTGTGTGTGTGTGTGTGTGTAGCTTATGCTGAATTCAAATTCCAGTTGAATTTGTTACATTCAGTTATATATAAACATCCTTGGGAAAGGTATGAATCCATTAAAGATATGGGTAAATAACGACAAACTGAGCCTTATAGCCTTGGTTGACAAACAGTCTAGTAGAAGGAAAATTCTGATTTCAAACCAACCTGAAGAGGATTGGGCTCCATCAGGGTATCTTGTCCAAGACACACCACAGCTGCAGTACATGTGGTGCTCCTATGACTCTAATGGGTTACTGGACTTATGTTTGTATATAAAAACTAGTGACTGGTATTTTCCTTGGTCTTTTTTGTTTTTTGCAAGACTCATTCATCTATCTGAAATGAGTTACTTTTTCAAGCTCTTTGTCTCCTAAAATAAAAAAAATAAAAAAAAAAAAAAAAAACAAGAAAAAAAAATCCTTTTGAACATTATTTTTGTATTTATGTTTCTTGGCCTGCAATATGTGCATCTCTTCTTTTTTTTTATTTGTAGGATGGCCTCAAAGGAAAATTTGCAGATCCAATGTAGAAAGCTTACCGACAAGTACACCACCCAGTCCTTATGTGTCTTTTCAGACTTAGTTGCCACTGCAATGGGCCCTCATGGCAGAATCAAACTTTTAGGCAATGTTTGTGGAGGTCATCTCTCTCTCACAACTCTTTCCACCCGGCTGCTCAACACTCTGACTCCAACTTGTCCCCTTGTGAAACTGATACTCACAGCTGCTGACCAACAGGTTTGCAGTTATGGTGATGCTGGCCTCTTTACAGCTCGTTTAGCTTTGAACCTTGTAGCTAATGGCATCCGCACCCAGATGAACCCAAAGCTACTAAGGCAATCAAATTCAGTCTTATTTGACCTTCTATCAGACTATTTACATTCAGTTGATTGCCCCTGTAAGATTTTAGCAGACATTGCAGATGTCAAGTCCTGGATTTGTGTGGCTCATACAATGCTTTCAGCAAAACCTCTTTGTGAATTGGAGCCGGAAGAAGCCAATTTGATAGCCCAGTTATTACTTGAAGCTTTTGTAGTCAAATTACCCACTGCAGACCCTGAACAAAAAAAGTTACATACAATGGGTGATGTGCACATTATCGGGGTGCCAGGTCAAAGTTCTGATAAATCATTTTGCTGTCAAGGCTTACTGCTAGAATTGAACAACCTGTCTGAGGTGGAAGACTGGCTCAACAAACATTATTCACATGATAATCTCACCTCTGCTGTTAAAACTATAGTTGTGAATATTTCTATGGCTGGTAATTCCGAAGAGTTTTTGGGAGTTACTTTTGAAGGAAGCAGCCTGGAAAGCCTGGAAGAAACTTTTCTTGGCTATATTGAGGAATTTTGTCAACAGCTGGCCATGTTGGACATTCAGATAGTTTTCTGCCAAAAAGTCATCCACCCCCGCATCAAAGAACTACTGAGAGGCAAACACATTCTTTCTGTTGATCGTTTGGGCTCGGAATACTGCCCTAGAGTTCTTAGTGTAACAGGTAATTTTGATATTCATTATTCTGTGTACAATCTGAAAAGTATCCCTGTTAGTAAATTTGTAAAAGAAAAACAAGGAAAGACTAGTTTTGTTTCTATTAAAATGATGCAGCATGTACAAGAATTATTGCAGTTTGAAGTAAACGATAATGTTGGTTTTATTGGCACTACTTAAATATACTGGTCCACTCACAAAAAATATGGATAATTTTGGAGGGTAATAATTTTTGTAGGTTTACATGCAATCAATCCTTAGACCCAAACTTTTTTTTTCTCTGGGCCACATTTTCAAAATGAAAATTTACTTGCACATCACCAAAGGGAAGTCCTGGTGATAAGCTGCAAGCAGCCCTACAGCAAAGAAAGGCACACACACATACACACGGAGAGAAAGAGAGAGTTAAAGGGAGATGACTGCGAATTCAAAGTCAGAACATTATCATTGATAACTCTCTCCTCCAATTTACAGAACCTAGTAACTATTCTTAATACTTGATATAATGCCAAAATATCACAATGATAAAATAATTAGTTATTTATACTGGGACTCATGCATGCAATTACAAGTAATCCATAATAATATTTTAAATTTTGAAATCATACAGTAGCAGCCATAATATAAGGAACGGAAACAACAAAGACATAAATATGTGTATTACTTAAAAAGTAATGCATGATTAGCAATGAAATTTTTACCGAATAAAGATTAGGGTGTAATGCATAAATATTATGCAAAGTTACAAAAATTTACATAATAGTTTTTTTTTTTTTTAAATAAAGATTAAATGGTACAAAGGAAATAAGCTACTGGACAAAAGTTAAGGAACGATGTTAATAATTTGCATAAACTTTTAATTTACATTGTTAAAAAACTCGATGGAGCTTTTCAACACTAAGTCAAAGTTCATTTATCATTAGGACTTTATTTTTAAGCAATATAGTAAATTCTACACGCAAAACGCTCTCTTTTGAAAAAAAAACCTCATTATCGCTAACTATCAAGAAAAAATGTCTATTTCAAAAATTTATGATATTGTTCATGGGTCCAAAAGTGTTGTTCATCATGTAATTAGCAGGTATAAAACTGATAAAACATTAGATGCAAAACCAAAAACCAGCAGACCTCCAAAAACATCGCAAAGAGAAGATCGAAGAATTGTTAGAATATCTACAAAAAAAACATTTTGAAACTGCTACATCAATTGCCTGTAAATTTAATGAAGAGACAGATAATAAGATCTCAATGAAAACAGTTGCTCGCAGGTTAAAAAATGAAGGATTGCATGCCCATATTCCAGCTTCGAAGACTCTCATTTCAAAGCGAAACCAAAGGGCATGCCTGGAGTATGCGAGAGAACATGTTGTTTGGACTGACGCACAATGGGATACAGTTCATTTCAGTGATGAGTCTAAGTTGACTATATTTGGTTCTGAGGGAAAAACTTACGTACACCATAGAACAGGTGAAAGACTGTCTTCTCAATGTGTCAAGAAAACCGTTAAGTTTGGTGGCGGCAGTGTGATGGTGTGGGGAATGATTTCATCTGCAGGAGTTGGCCCTATCATCTGTGTACATGGCAATATCAATGCTGAGATTTACAAATGGCTTCTTCAGCAGCATGTGGTACCAAGATTACACCATATTCTTTATGATACTCCTATTTTCATGCAGAACAATGCACCTTGCCACAAGGCTCAGAAGGTTATGGCTTTATTTGAAGAAGAAGGAATCGCCCTAATGAAGTGGCCTGCCTAGAGCCCCGGCCTGAATCCAATAGAAAATGTTTGGAAGATAATTGGAGAAAGGGCTCAGAAAAGAAACCCGAAAAACCAGAATCACCTATGGGAGTTATTGAAAGACGAATGGGAGGGAATTACTGCTGATTTTTGCAAGAAATTAATTAGATCATGTGGTCGACGATGCAGAGAAGTCATTGAAAATAAGGGGATGTTTACCAAATATTAAATTTTGTTGATATTTTGTTCAAAATCAAGTATTAACAAGATCTTTCCTTAACTTTTGGCCAGTAGCTTATTTCCTTTGTTTCATTTAATCTTTATTTAAAAAAAAGACTATTATGTAAATTTTTGTAACTTTGTATAATATTTATGCAATACACCCTAATCTTTATTCGGTAAAAATTTCATTGCTAATCATGCATTACTTTTTAAGTAATACACATATTTATGTCTTTGTTGTTTCCGTTCCTTATATTATGGCCGCTACTGTATATATTTTTAGTATATGAATTTTTCTGAAACTGTTTCTAAATCTTTGATTGTCTTTCAATCATTCAGCCTCACCTGCTATCCTCTTTCACCACACCTGTGAGGCACACTTCATCATTTGAAAACCACTGCCTTAGACCTTCCAAAAACCACAACATATGTCAGAATCATGAAATATTGATTTTTTTTTTTCTTTAGCATTTTAGAACACCCCATTCATAAATATTGATACAGGGTGTCATGGGTATATTGTCGCCATTTTATATTTTTAATTTTGTGCATTCATGTTTGTTTTTGATTTTGTCAACTGAACAGTATAGTAGGGTCAGTTTTGCACTGTCTGTGAGAAAAAGATCACTGTGACGTAATTCATTCCACCAGAAATTTGGAAACTGCCTGCTGTACTACTTGACCTTTATGCTGAAACTCCAACATAAACATTTCAGAGTATTTGGTTGTCCATCTGAGGACAGTTCAGAGGATTCAGAAAGAGTTGGATGAGTCTAATGGTGATTACAATGGTACAGCAGCTCAGAAATCTCACTGATCATTCGGATAAGAAAAGAACTCCTGAATTAGTAAGATCCAAGCCATGATTGAAAATGATCCCTCCAAGTCAATCAGGCCCATAACCAGGGAGATAGTGCTGCCCTGGGTCAAGAGGGTGGCTGCTGGAAGACCCTATGCCTGACAACAGGACTCTGCACCATGCGACACAAGCAGGAGAACCCAGTCATGGCTGCCAGACAATTTCAGCAACCACATCACCTCTTACATCTGTCCACCTAACTCCCCAGACTACAACCCTCTTGATTATTATGTGTGTGGCTGCAGTTGAGTGAGATTATATTTGCTTGACTTGCTAAGTTTGAAACTGCTTACAGCATTGAAATCTGCCTATATTTTTATTTATTTATTTGTTTAAATTTTCTGAATTAAAAAAAAATCTTAACTGTTTTTGTAAACTTTTTTTTAATGGGGAATTTTTTCAGAAGCAAAAGCACAAATATTGGGTGAGGGATAATAATTATTTATCTTAAAAGAAGAATAAATGAATGTATACTTTTTATGAATATTCTTTAATTAAAAATGTACCATATTTCATGGCTTATAAGATGTTCTGATGCATTAGACACGCATCATGACAACACACTGTCTTAGTAGTCAAGAAATCATGCTCCCAATGACTTAGGCTTATGGCCACATCACAATGAAACACTGGTTCTTGTACAGTCACTGAAGTAAAGCAACATCAACCCTGGTCAGTGCTTAGATGGGTGACTGCTTAAGAATACCAGGTGCTGTAAGCTTGGATATATGGGAGTTTAATGGAGAATAGCTCGAAATTGTTAATCGGAGAGCTAAGTTCCAGTTGAATTTGTTATATTCACTTACATGCAAATACTCTTCAGAAATGTATGAATCCATCTCTTCTCCCCCAGCTATGGGTTAATGAAAGAATTGTATCACTAAATCATTATTATCTCCCCTCCAAATACTTACAATCTAAAATTATATTGTCTTTAAATGACCTGCAAAGGGTTGATAAGCCATAGAAAATGAATCAGTCTATAAAAAAAACACTAACTTATTTTTGTTTATAAAATCAACCCCAAAAAAAACTTTACCAGTCCACAAGGTTTCATATGCTTTACTTGCTCAGTCATTTTTAACCATTGATCTTACCAATCAAAATAATTACAACCACATCCAAAACTATTATCGAAATGATCAGAATGAAAAATACCCATAATAATAATAATTCTGAAGTAGGTATATATAAAATAAACTCCCAGAAATGTTCCTTACAATCCATTGGGGAAACTTTCAGAAATTAAAAAAAAACAAAAAAACTTATCTATGAAGACAAAAGGGATCTTACACACAACAGTTTATCAAATGCATTAGTTATACATAGAAATAAATTTTGCACAAATTTCCAAAACATCACTTAGTCACATTTGTTTATTAAACATTGAATTGTATCACTTTGCTCCCCCCAAAGCTTGCCTGACGTTTTAGCTAACCTCATGAATATTTATGAATGTTCCTAAACTTGAAAATTTTGGAAAACTAATAACATTTCTGTTCGTGTCTATAAATACTTGTTACAAAATAAAATCTTTGCATTTACCTTGATAAAATCCTACAGATGATGAAATGTGACAGCTAAGATAGGTTTTCTTTTTGTCTTTATTCATATGCATATATGTTGAACATAGTATATTTAGGTGGCAATCCTTGGTTTTAAACATGTTTTATTAAATAAAATAGACAAGAAATTTTCGTTAATCCTTTTGATGAGTTTCTCCTGATATTGAATAACTCATCTGATCTTGTTTGGAAACTTGCAAAAAACTTGCCAAAATTGTGTGTAGTTTTCTGAGTACTTTCAATCATTGATATGGTTTATAGGGTTTATATATCATATTTTCCCACAACTCTGAACTTCAGTACTAGTGATGTAACCCTGGCAAGGTGCATAGCCATTGATAAGATTATAAAGTTCACAATTAACTGTGGTGTGGTTTTGTCAGCTATGATCTTGACTGAGGTTGAATAAAGGAAATGAAAGAAGTGCCAGAAGTCACAGAGAGACTAATCTGAATAAGAGGGGTTCTTGATTGACCTGGAGGATGCAATGTTCTACCCAAAAAATTCTTGAAATATGAGTAATCTATTCACTTGGTCACTGTAAATGCAACAGTCACACAGTATACACAAACTCATTCATCTGTGCTTCAATACTGACTGAGTAACCTCACGAGAGAGTCTGCTCACACACGCACTTTTTGGATGAATACCTCAAGGCTCTGTATGTCATAATTGAGATATTTAAAATGACTGAATACTTTCTAGGCAAATTTTGAAGGCAAGTAAAAAGGATGTTTTTAAAAGGACATTCTGCTAATTTTGACCATCCCCACATCTTTCTTACAGGCAAGTTTGTTTGATCTGCTGACTGACTTTGATATTTTTTTTTTCTGTTGTTCAGGTGCCAATCCTGTTAGCTCTTTTTCTGCCTCAGTCACTGCTGACCAAGTAGGCAGTGTTGACCATCTATCTATCATGAATGTGAACAGGAAATCTTTTCTTCACATGATACAAACATCAGCAACTATGGCCACATTGGTTCTATCTGCTTACATAGAGGAACAACTTGAAGAACTGAAGGTTAGTGACCATTAGTCATTGGTTATCTTTGGTGTGTATGTACACTACAGTTCAAAAGTTTGAGGAGAAAACCATGGTAATTTTTTAAATTGGCCCCAACAGTAGTTATTTTGTACTTTAAATAAGAGAAAATGATTATACATGGTTATAAAAGTGAGTCATTATTTTTCATTAGAAATTTTATTATGACAAAAAGAAAAAAAGCATTTTATGATTAAATTTTGCTCTCGTCAAAATATCCTCCTTTAGCCTTGTTTACTGCAGCACAAATGTTTGACGTTTGTTGCAAAAGTTTCTCGAAGTATAAGATTGATAATTGATTCCATCCTTTTTTTCAATTACTCTAAGAGTTCTTTTTCATTTTTTTTTCACTCTTCTGTCAAGTTCATCCCATGCTAATTCTGAGTTTTTCAAATCAAATTGTAGTGAACTGTATTATTAATGTATGTATATATATATATATATATATATATATATATATATATAAATCCACAGACAGACTGTTTTGCTGTGTTCACAGCTCATCAGTGTGGCTAGACATCCAATTGCTTTTTCTTTATATTAAGAAACCCAACTGGTTTGGTATCAGTTGGAGATTCTAACCCCTAGGTTATTAACGCCTGGCAGGGATAAAGGCGAATTTTTGCATATTTTTTTTTTCATAAACACACCAGGGACCTAGAGAACTCAATCTAGCCTGGAAAGTCTTGCATTATCAGTAGTAATAGTGACTGTTTACAAATTCACACTACATACATACATATATATATATATATATATATATATATATATTCATATAAAATGTATATGTATGAGAGGTGTATTTTGGAAGCAATAATTCCTTTAAACATGTTTGGTTGAATAATATTGACAAATCCTATCTATGAATTTTTTTTTTTTTTAATTTTTCAAATTTCCAAATTAGTCTTTAATATTATTGGTAACTTTGCCAAAGTTTATATTTACTTTATATTGTTCTTTTTCCAAGTATTTTCAAATGCTACATTTGTTTTCAAGGATTATATTTTGGGTATATTTATGGAACTGTTTTTATTTAATTCTGGCCTAATCACATTTGATGGAACCATCTTCAAGTCACTCAAGGTAATATCATCTAAACAGTCAAACCAGAATTTCTGTGTTTTTTTTCTTTTTTTTTTTTTCTTTTTTTTTTATGCACATAAAAATTCCAGAAGTTGTTAAGATAATGTGAAGTAATGGTTAGCAAATTGGAATGAGTAATCAAAAAGCCAAGTTTGTTACATTCATTTATGTGTAAATATGAATGCATCTCTTCGCCACCTCCCATCTATGGGTAAATAGCAGGACACACTAGGTCCTATAGTCTTGGGTTGGAACTGGTCTAGGAGAATGACAACTCTGAATTCAAAACCTGAGTAGGGTTGTTTGGTGACCTTGTGGCACACTATATACACCAGTTCTCTGTATTCAGGTCTTCAAAAAATGTAGCTGGTTCTGCACAAGCCTTCAACACTATAATGAAAATCATATGCATGAGTAGTCTGTCTGTTTGCTTCTAAGTACTCGGTTGTACACTTATACATCAAAAACAACAGAGTCCAATGTATGTGTGTGCGTGCATGTTTACTTAAATATTTATATCTATAAAAATATATTTAAATATTTGTATCTATAAAAAATAATGTATAAACAAAAAATATATATATATATTAAGAAATGGACAAGGTCCGACAATTTATTTATTAAAAGACATTTTTTATGTTTAACGTTTTTATAGATTTTTATGTTTAACGTTTTTTATATAAACAGTATTAAATAACATTACTAATTCTTAGAAAATATTCATTCTTTGAATCCTGTCAAAGAACGAATATTTTCTCTATACATTCACATTTAAAACTGTTTATCATAAACAGAGCATTTAAAATACTTGTATCTATAAAAATAACAAACATTTATATATGGCCTATAATATTTAATATATATATTTAATATATATATATATATATAAATATATATATATATATATATTTAATGGGGTTTATATATATATATATATATTTTAATATATATATATATATTTAATTATATATATATATATATATATATTTAATATATATATATATATATATATATTTATTATATATATATATATATATTTAATATATATATATATATTTAATATATATATATATATATATTTTATATATATATATATTCTATTTAATATATATATATATATTTATTTTTATATATTATTTAATATATATATATATATATTAATATATATATATATATAAAATATATATATATATATATATATATTAAAATATATATATATATATATATATATATATATATATTTAACAAAGGGGGGAGGACATCAGTAAAGAATAGAAGGCGCGAGCGAATATATACATATATGAAAATAGATCAAGCCAAAAGAACCAACTTATCTTGCAGTCGGGCTGGTATCTTCACAAAAGTTTTGATTCGCCCGAAGCGAGTTCTGATGATAAATCAGTATCTTGGCCGGCCGACAATGTTCCTGGATTCTTCTTCTTTTCGCAAGTGTTCGTCGGTCCCCAGCATTTCATACAGGCCTTTGGTTGGGTTGATCAGTCAATAGCAGCCTTTCAATCACTGGTCGATGAACTTCGTGGTCTTCCCTCATCTCAGTGGGCGGTCTGACGATTTTTGCCCAGCGATGTTCAACTGCCGCTGGTCAGAGGGAAACTCAAAATCCTTCTTTGGTTTTCGCTGTCCCCACAGACAGTCACGTGGGTTCCTTTCGTCCTTGACCGGGTACGCAGGAGAATAGGGCACAAATCACGCAGTGTTTGTGTGATGGCCAAAGTTCAACGCATGCTCCGTACGTCCCGATCACGTGAATCGCAGCATGAGACCCTGATGGTGTCTGGAGTTTACTTATGGTCGAACGCGAAATCTTAGAACCAGGTCATCCCCGTCCGGGTCACTTCTAAGTTCACGGGCCCTTGGCTGGCGGGTGGAAGAGAGGATAGGGAGAGAAAGAATTTGTGAAGAGAAGAGGGGGGTATGGCTGATCATAGAATATATTCGCTCATGAATCGGAAGCATTGGATTAAATTTCTGTTTTTATCTATTTATTTATCTTTCTTTTATATCTAACTAATTTTCTCTTTATTTAAGATTTTACTTTAGCCTAACGCCCATATGGTTAATGAAATCGTAGCTTCGTGACAATATATATATATTTAATATATATATATATATATATATATATATATTTAATATATATATTTAATATATATATATTTAATATATATATTTAATATATATATATTTAATATATATATTTAATATATATATATATATTTAATATTGTTTATATGTTATTTTTATAGATACAAATATTTCAGTAAATGCTCTATTTATAATAAACAGTATTAACAACATTTATCAGTCAGAATGTCCGAGAAATCTCAAGGAAAATGTGTCTCCTCCAAAAGGAATTGAACATGTATCCTGTAATTCATTAAACTATGTTGTGAGCATCTGGATTTTCTTTTTTCTTGAAGTGACAGCAAAAATGTTAAACGTTATGTATTTTTTAGATTATTTCTTTACACATATAGTATTTAATACTTTTGTTGTTAATTCTTGAGAAAAAAGAGAAGGCATAAATCCAGTTTCATATGTTTGGATTTTATTAAAATTCTAAAAATACCTTTTTAAAACAATTAAATTTGCCAAGGTAGTATACAGTAATAGTGATATCTAGAGAAAAAAAAACACTGTTTTTGGTACAGGGGTTTTTTTGAGTTTTTTTATTATTATTATTTTTTACAAGTATGTATGTTAAACTTTGTCATAATTTCATTATAAAAAGCAGAAATCTATGAATGAAAAACACCAGAAGGTCAGTACTGAGTTCAATGTTGTTACTAGAATTAATTGGAGTGCTACTGATAGGCTTATAATTATTTAGTGGTTGGCAGAAATAACTGGTGATAATGTTAGATCTTTATCCTCAGGAGCTAAGAACAACCTCATAAGTTTGGTTGATAAATAGAAACATGTTGTTTTATGAATTTTTATTTGTAATTAATTTTCAGGCAATCTGCAATAATGTCCTCATTGTGTTTGATCACCTCCTTCGTAATCCGTCTGTACTTTTTGGGGGCGGATGTTGGCAATTCAATGTCACCAACTATCTCAGGACAAAGGTGAATATCTTCTTTTTTTTTTTTTTTTTCCTAGTAACTTTTTCTGTTATTTTTTTCCCTCCACAATGTGGAATAAGGATATATAAAAATTTTTATATCAAGAACAATTTTAAAGAAAAAAAGCATGGTAAAGTAGAAAAAAGTTTTCATGTGATACATTTCATCCTTTATGACTACATCAGACTAAGTTTATTTTTTATGTTTATGCAACAACACATGAATGAAAGAGACGCTGAAAATTTAAAATAGCTTTTTTTTGTTGTTTTTTATGTGTTTTGGGTATGTAATCTGGCAGATTTAATTTAGATTCTTTTTCTTTGTTTCCATCACTTTTGTTATTAAATATCCAACATTGCGATAATAGAAAATCTGCCAAGAATGGTGAAATGCAAGAACCTGGATGCATATTTACTGTGGATAAAGTTGCAAATAAAGCACTTTTGAAACATATTCATCTTGATAAATTGTTTTCTCTTTTAATTATTAGAGAAGCATTTTTTAAATCAAAATTATGGTTAGACTCATTCCAATAAGCAACTAATGCATTTAAAGTGTGGTTTTGTAAAAGATCCCTTTTGTGTTTATGTAATCTTTTATTTAAATTGCTTGAGGTTGCTCCAATGTATTCCTTATGGCAATTATTACAGGTGATAGAGTAAATTCCTCCTCCAAGTTTTACCCCATTATTTTGTTTTGCATTAATTAAGTCTTTTACTGTCTTAGACATAGTTGTGATAAATTATATATATATATATATATAATTTTCCTCACACAACTCTGAGTTTCATGCATGATGCAATCATCAAGTGATTATTGAAAATTTATTGTTGCATAATTTGAATATTGATATTTATACTGTATTCTCTCACTCCATATATATATATATATATATATATATATATATATATATATATATAATTTGTGTGTGAGGTATTGGGGGGGGGTGCTGAAAAGTTTTTAACACAACAAAAATGCCCTTTGAAAACAAAAATAAGGGAAGAATAAGAAAAAAACAAATGAATGTTGTTTTTTGTGAAACTCTTGAAAATGAAGGAAAACGATATTTATTTTTTTTTCTCACATATGAACAGATTTTAAAAAAATATGTGTGAGTGTGACAACATGCGACAACTGGATAGTGAGGATTGGGCAACTCCAGCCCAGACATGGCAGCAATACTCCATTCTTGGTCGATCTTTGTAGGAGGAGGTAATTTTGTCTTGAAGATAAAGTTCCAATTAGTAAGAGACTGGTTTGGCAAGATTAGGCTTGAAGATTGAAGCAAAATGAATTTTGAATAAAGTAATATAAATGATTTTCCTTGAATAAATTTAACGTGTGAAAAAAAATCAAATTTTACCTTGCGACTTTGCTTATCATTTTATATTGAAGGCAATTGGTAGGTAAGGCTTAGAAATCAGGAAACTCACAATGACAAATGATTTAGTTTTTTTTATATTTATTTATATTCAGACTAATGTCCTTATCTTTGTTATTATCATAATGTTTCAGCTGTTGTGTTCTTCAGCCTTCTTCAAGTGTCTGTTGATATGAGTAAGCATAAGGGAATTTTGAACTGATCCCTTTATTTAATCTATAGGGATAGATTGTTCTTGTTCTAATCTCCATCTCTACGAATATCTCGTTTTGTTCTTATTTAATACTGGCCAGAGATTGAACTCGGTTACTCTGACACCAAATGCTTTAATCCACTCAGATATTGTCCCATAGAGATTAAATAAAGTGTTCAATTTGCAATTCACTGAAGGTTAGCTAGATTGATAGAGACCTGAAGAAGGCTGGAGAGCACAATAACCGAAACATGGAAATACTAACAAAGATGACTACATTAGGGTGAAGGTAAATTATCCCTGAAATTCAGGCAGAAATTGTTTATATTTTCAGGTCAAGATTGACAGCGAATGTCTAAGTAAAGAATTACAGTGTTCATTTCATCAGTTACTTGAGGCTTGTGAATATTTCTGTCGTTGTCTGGAACAGTCTTCTCTCCCCGAGGCTTCTTCAGGACTGAAATGCTACACGCACACATCTCTTGGTCACTTATGGGCAGTTGACAAGCAACTGGCAGACGTACAGACACAATCAGTATCCTGTATGTGTGGTGTTACAAAATGCCAACTCTCAAACCTGAATCCTCTTCCTGAGGAATATTTTTCTTTTGGCTACAGAATGCAAAATCTCCCCAAAGATAACAATGCTGCTCTGGGACTGAATTCTACTTTGTCGAAGGATTCTCTTGAAAAACCGTCATTGATGGATTGTTTTGTTTCTTGGAGAAATGCATTAGAAACTTCTATCCGAATTGCGGATATGACACTTGGCACAAACCAGTTTATTTTTGAATCTGTTCATTCATTATAACACATTGCTTAAAAAAATTTGTATTGTAGTTTTCTATATTTAAAAAAAAAATTCATTATTAATGACAGGTTTCTAGGGAAGATATCTGATGTTGATTACAGGTTTATAAAAAAAATGGTATTTCAGGTTTATATCTGTAATCCATTAATTTATACCTATAACCCATTAATTCCCAGTCACCAAAATGGGATACTAGGCTTTAATGGGTTAAACTAAATAAATTTACACTCCTTATACATTAATTCTTTTGGGAAGTTTGTCTCTGTTGTCTTTTTCACATTTTGACCACTGTACTCTCTAGCCTTAACCAAGCGCCTGTTACATTTGGTAACCTGAGAATATTGACTGCAATCCTGTGGATCAAGGAAGAGTTTCGTTTGACATTCACAGAAGCTAATGAAATGTGACAGATGCCCAAAGAAGGCCAGTGCTCAAAAATTAGGGATTAAAAACAACAAATACAAAAAGTCTGGTCTAAAAGAATGTATCACAAGAGCAGGGTTTTTACTTTCAAGTATTTAGAAATCTTACCAGATTAAAAAAAAAAAAAAAAAAAAAAAATGGATTGTTTTGTTTTTGTCTTGTTACTAACAAATATAAAAAGAATTGAATGAAATGATTTCTTCTTGCAGAGATGTATCAGTCCATAATAATATTGAACACTTTAAATAAAAGTTAAAATATTTATCTTGTTTTTTATCTTATATATATCATACTTATTATAAAACCCAGGTTGTGTGTGTGTCTGTTCGTTTATATATTGGATCGGATTTCCTACATTTTTCAACCGATTTCAACAAAACTTCACAGGACTACGTAAAATTACCTTGCAGTGGTTCTGACAGCACCAAAAATTGGAAAAACACAATTGTTTTTGCATGAAATCAATTTGAAAACATGATTAAGAGGCATCGCTGTTGCGAGAATGAAAGGGGGACAACTCATATCGAGTTATACTTATAAAACTAAGGTTGTTTGTGTGTGTGTTCGTTTATATATGGGATCGGATTTCCTACATTTTTCAACCGATTTCAACAAAACTTCACTTTTTTTCTTTTTTTTTTTGTCAGGTAGTGTTTCTTATTGCACACTTTTTTCTTTATTTTTACATTCAGAATGCTTTAAAAATTCCATTTACAAGACAATTGTTTATAATAAAAATTCTATTCAATCTGTAGACTCATAATGAAAACAATGTTTTTGTTTGAGTTTGACCAATTCGTAAAAAAAAAAAAAAAAAAATTAAGACATGCGTGTCCATCAACCTTAAACAATAATCTTTGTCAATTTTATTTTTCAGTCTTTATGATGGTCGATACTTGATCTATCTCTTACTGTTACATCCCCGGGCAACGCCGGACTCTACTGCTAGTATATATATATATATATATTTAAAATAATAGGAAAGAACTGTGATATTCACAATTCAGAATTCTTAGCCCTTATTTTTATTTTTAAAAAAATATGATTCCATCGTGACACAAAACATCCTATGTTTCAAAATGGAAAACTCCAAATGTAGATAAATTTTAAAAATTAAACCTACAATCCAGAGTCTCATTTCATTCTTAACTTTGTCTTAATTTGCATAATCTTTACATTTTGTTTAAAACAGGAAAATACAGTGAAAAAAGGATACTCCAAATTGATAACTTTGACAGACAAACAATGATTGATAACTTTGCATAATCCTTAAATACTAATACGGTTCAAAGCATGAATACAATAAGCAAAAGTTATGTACAAAAATAAATTCTTATATACTGTAATATTACTAACAATCTAGTCATCAATTTTTAGTAGTCTCTCTGAAACAAAGAGAAACAAATTTTTTTTAATCAAATTTAGAATGTTCTAAAAAAGATGGAAAAATTTAATAAAATAATTAAAAAATGTTTTCCTCTTAATAATAACATAAACGTATATATGTATATGTATGTGTGTGTATATATATATATATATATATATATATATATATGTGTGTATGTATGTAATCAATTAAAAATAAAAATCATCCTTGTTAATGACTATAAGAATAGCCAAATGGGCTTGGATATACAGAACATTTTACATATTTTATGTCCAGTAAAGAAAAAATTCTATGAACACAAGAAAAATTAGGTAAATAACTTAAGCATAACAACTTGCCAGTCATCTTCAATGAAACTTACATAGAAGAGGGATTACTTCCCAAATACAATTTATATATATATATATATATATATATATATATATATATATATATATATATATATATATATATATCACAACACCCCAAAGTATTATTAAAACCAACACAAAGCCTGCCACTTAACCAAAGAAAATATTAGTATAAAGAAAAATGAACAAATAATAAAACAAAACGAAGAGAAAAACTAAGACAAAACAACCAAAAGGGAGAAACCTACCTAAATAGTACTATAGAGTGCTCTATGTCTGAATTACCCAGATAGAACAATTACACTTCCCAACATCACAACTCAGAAGGAGACAAAATTCAGAATGCTACAAGTAGCGGTCCAAAAATCTTATTTCTGGAAATGTTATATTTAGTGGATCCATGTGTCTGAGTAGACATCCCAATTTTCTAAACAATGTAATAAATGTCTACTGGCCTAGCTATTCAAGAGCTTTAAGAAAAGGTGTCTTTTTGGCAAGGTTCAAACTTGCATCCCCTCTTATATTGGGGAAACTATTCAAGCCAGGTGTGCTGTAAACCACTCAACCCCAAAAGACTTCATGTCAAACCAAGGTTCAATTATCCTTTTTATAAGAAATGCACATTTCTTGTTCAGACCTTTCAAAGCCCATATCTGCTAACTTTATTTTTATATCCAAAATGTAAAAGTAATTTCTAAGGAATTAATGGATTTCATCTATAATCCAACATTATTTCTTATTACTAAAAAGGCTTACGATCACATCACATTGAAATATCAGTTCCTGTATGAACAACGAAGTTAGCAACATCAAGCCTGGTCAGTACCTAGATTGGTGACCATTTTGAAATACCAAATGCTGTGAGCTTGGATGTGCGGGTGGTGTAATGGATAATGGCTTGGAATTAATAATCGAAGAGTCAAGTTTGAATCCCCTTCAGCTTCGTTATATTCACTTACAAACGAATAGCCTTGGGAAAAGTATGACGCCACCTCTTCTTCCCCCAACTATGGGTTAAATTATAAAACTTCTATCACTAAATCATTATCTCCCCCACCAAATTCTTAGAATCTAAAAATATTTTCTGGCTTTAAATAACCTGCAAAGTGTTTATAAGCCATAGAAAACAAATCAACCAATGAAATACTGATTAGCTACACAGGGCATGTGTTTTAGATTTATTTACATTCTCTGGAATATAAATGTATAGAAACTATCATGGTCGCAAAGTGAGGGATCAGTTTATATATTGATTGTAATATAGAATTGATCCCCTGCTTTATATCCATATAATTTCTTGATTATCAAATTCTGATTAGGTATGAATCCACCTCTTCTCCCACACACCTATGGGTTAATTAGTAAGACTTGTATGACTAAAACATTATTATCTCCCCCACAAAATTCTTACAACCTAAAAATATTTTCTGGGTTTACATTATCATAAAAAAGTTGATAAGCCATAGAAAATCAATCAATCAATCATTACTACAAATATTATATTAATGGATGCACAGGTTTGAATAGACATCACACTTGGCGAGTCACAAGCACGCCTCCCTTTCAATCATTCCGTTCGGTCCATGAAACACGGTGTTATCATATCACGGATATAATAATGCCCGTAATGGGGGAAATACAAATGGGACAATAAACCATACTTCCATAGTATTCTTCCGTTATATAATATAAAAAAATACGAAAACTGAATGACAATAGAATTTTTTCATTTATTCAGATAGATGGGATTTGATTAGATTTTTCAACATGAAAAAATTCAAAATCCTTTTTACTTTGTAATTTTTACTTATTTTTGAATAACAAAGTGAAACCAACTACTTATTAATAATTTCATTTGAAAAGCCAAAACTTCAGTGAACAAATCTTTTGTGCAATTTCAATGAATTTTAAAGGGAAAACTATTAACACACCATTATTCTATGGCTATTGTTATAACACACTCTTACTTATATAACGTACATTGTATAAGGATTCCTCTATACGTAATGCTTCGGATACTCTACCATGACGCCTGTACTAGTTAGTCTGAAGACTAATTCCAAATGACTGGTATTTACAAACCTTTCCACAAGGCAAGATGTGGCACAAGGCCGATTTTTATATGGGGCGAATCCGAGCCCGTAGGCTCGGGCAAAAATTCCCCGTGGATCCCGCATACTCGGGGTCGGGTTTGTCTACCTCCCCCAGGCGAGACTCTGCCCTTTGGCATAGCCTCATCTGGGATCCTTTCTGCCGCAGAGAGGTAAAGAGTTCGACTAATCAGCAGCGAACTTCCTGACTCCAAACAACTACCTCGTACCTCTGAGCACATTATTATAGTTATGGACTAGTTCATATAGTCACTGGGGGTGTACTATTCACTCCACAATACCCCACACACACTTTTGAGAGTAATACTTTTATAAACATTTTATTTTTTATTATTATTAGTATCTCCCCCTCCTCTTTCTGGAGAGTTCGCCAACATGATTTTGTAACGTTTCCGTCTTGGATCCACGTACAGATTTTCACTATGTTTTTTTTTCTAGAATTTGTTCTTGTAGGTTTCACGAAT